TGCTGTGTGTTGGTATGTGTGTCTCTCTGTGTGTATGTGCATGTACATTATGTGTGTGTGTGCCTGTGTTCTAAAATATTCTGTGTGTGTGCATTTAATGTTATATCTCTATGTGTGTTTATTTGTATGTATATGTTCTAGAATATCTGTGTGTGTGTGTATTTGTGTGTGCTCTCTCTCTGTGTCTGTAAGGGTTTATGTGTGTGTGTGTGTCCTAAAATATGCTGTGTGTGTATGTACATTGTGTGTGTGTATGTGTGTACTGTGTGTGTGTGTGTGTGTGTGTGTGTGTGTGTGTGTGTATCTCTGTGTGTGTATGTGCATGCCATGTACATTGTGTGTATGTGCCTGTACAATACGTATGTGTGTGTATGTACATTATTTGTGTCTGTGTTTATTTTGTATGTGTGTGTGTGTGTGTGTGTGTTTGTTTCTCTGTGTGTATGTGCATGTATATTTTTTGTGTGTGTGTGTATATACATGTACAGTATGTGTGTGTGTGTGTGTGTGTGTGTGTGTGTGTGTTTGTATGTGCGTGTACAGTATGAATGCGTGTATGTGCGTGTACAGTATGTATTTGTGGATGTGTGTGTTTGTATGTGTATGTTCAGTATGCATGTGTGTGTGTGTGTGTGTGTGTGTGTAGTATGAACATTATATCTGCTTCTCTTCTTGTGTTCTCTCTCTGTTCTTTATTCTCTCCAGCTGTCTGCAGCTTTATGGATCGTTTCAAGTTTTTTTTAAAGCCTTAAATATGGAAAATATTACCAGCATCTTCCTTGATGTTCTCAAGTCTTTCCTCCCCCATTTTCAGTCTGTTATTTCCTGTATTTAGTCTTGCGCCGTTCGTAACATACAGTCAGAATAAAGCCAACAGCACACACCTGACCTAATATTAGCCAATTCGGTCAAGCACACGGCATTAAAGCATCACTTTATTAATATTATTATTAATCTATTAAACCAATGCAAATATTGCAAGCAAATTAGTTTTGAAGAGACCACATGGTGAATTCAATAGTAATAACATACACACAGCGGCCACTTTATTAGGTACACCTGTCCACCTGCTTGTTAACGCAAATTTCTAATCAGCCAATCACATGGCAGCAGCTCACTGCATTTAGGCATGTAGACATGGTCAAGACGATCTGCTGCAGTTCAAAGCGAGCATCAGGATGGGAAAGGAAGGGGATTTAAGTGACTTTGAACGTGGCATGGTTGTTGCTGCCAGACAGGCTGCTCTGAGTATTTCAGAAACTGCTGATCTACTGGGATTTTCACGCACAACCATCTCTAGGGTTTACAGAGAATGCTCCGACAAAGAGGAAATATCCAGTGAGCGGCAGTTCTGTGGGCGCAAATGCCTTGTTGATGAGGCCAGAGGTCAGAGGAGAATGGCCAGACTGGTTCCAGCTGATAGAAAGGCAACAGTAACTCAAATAAGCACTCGTTACAACCGAGCTCTGCAGAAGAGCATCTCTGAACACACAACACGTCCAACCTTGAGGCGGATGGGCTACAGCAGCAGAAGACCACACCGGGTGCCGCTCCTGTCAGCTAAGAACAGGAAACTGAGGCTACAATTCACACAGACTCACCAAAACTGGACAATAGAAGATTGGAGAAACGTTGCTGCTCTGATGAGTCTCCATTTCTGCTGACACATTCAGATGCTCGGCTCACAATTTGGCGTCAACAGCATGAAAGCATGGATCATCCTGCCTTGTATCAGCGGTTCAGGCTGGTGGTGGTGGTGTAATGGTGTAGGGGAGATTTTCTTGGCACACTTTGGGTCCATTAGTACCAACTGAGCATCAACGCCACAGCCTAAAATCTCTGAGGAATATTTTCAGTAGCTTGTTAATCGAAGGATTAAGGCAGCTCTGAAGGCAAAAGGGGGTCCAACCCGGTACTGGTAAGGTGTACCTAATAAAGTGGCCGGCGAGGGTATATGTTATATAACATATGTAGTTATACGCCCTCATGTCTGCTCATGTAACTTTTTTTTTTTTTTACTAAAAAGTCACTCCTACAAAAACCCGAAGATGAAAGATGAAGAGTCTGATATTGTCCGTTTGCATCTCTCAGCATATATAATAAAAGCCCCTCTTACCATGAGCGAGTGTCTGTTGGAGGGCAGCAGTCCGGAGCTATATCCGCCCATGGCCCCGTTGTGAGAGTGTGAAGGCGTGATCAATCCGTGCATATCTGCATGTGCGCCGGCCATCGCCGTGGACGGACCCACCGCATGACTCCGCAATACGTGAATGGCATCGTCCAGCCGCTCCAATCTGTCCTCGATACGACTTTGCTGCAAACACGGATGCAAAGAACAATGAATAATGCATAAAAGAGGATGCATGGGAAACTATTTTACTGTATAACTTCAACATTACTATGCATGTGGGACTTAGTAGTGTACTTTTATTGGTGGTTCATTCCACTGTGGCGACGAATCCAAAGGAAAATGAATGAATGTTTATTTAATGGGTCAGAAACAGATATGTTATGAAGGACACATGCATGTGAAACTACTTTGCAGTATAACTTCATCATTACTATGCATGTGTGAAATAACAGTATATGTCTTTTTACTGCAGGGTCAGAATCCTTTAGATCCATTATTAAGGAGGACACATGCATGTGAAACTATTTTACTTTATAACTTCAACATTCATATGCATGTGAATTAACAGTATGGGTCTCTTAAAAGTTGTAGAAAGACTTCTGTGTTATACAGGGTGGGTGAAAAACAACTAGGTGTTATTTAAAGTTAGCATAAACCAAAAGCTGCATCCGTTTGTCTTTTTCATATTGTGAGGCAGTCACAAGAGAAATGGAATATTAAATGAGAAAACAGTTCTGGTTCTCTCAAGGTTTTTTTTCTTCACTCTCCTATCGGTGAAGTTTTTTTTCTCTCTCCGCTGTCGCCTCTGGCTTGCATGGTTCAGGATCGGTAGAGCTACGCATCGCTGAATTTGCTCTTCAGTGTTTAGACTCTCAGTAATGATTTAAACCACACTGAACTGAGCTAAACTGAACTGAACTTAAACACTAAAAACTGAACTACCATGATCCAGTTACTATGACCGTTTATGTGAAGCTGCTTTGACACTATCTACATTGTAAAAGCGCTATACAAATAAAGCTGAATTGAACTGAACCACAGCTCTGCACAGTTTAGCTCCAACCACCTCCAACTCACATCTGCCTAATAGTCTCTAGTAGACTTGAACTGCGGCCCTCTATGCTCTAAAATATCTATAAATTGTTTTAAAACAACCACTATTTTCTAAAATGTATGCATGTAAATTAGGTCACAGGTTAACTCGCTATAATGGTATATCACTATATCATCAGTTCTGCAATATATTACAAGAAAACCATCCACAATTTATCACAATATCTGTAAATGAAGGGGAAAAACACATTCAAAGCTATAAGATGTTGAGCAGCTTTTGTGAAGAGAGGTCACATCTCTAAACTAGATTCTTAAAGTTTGAGAACAAACTTTGAGGCTGGCTTGTGAAAGCCTGATGGTAATAGTTTATTTAGTTTAAACAGTTTTAAAAAGTATGAATAGATAGATAGATAGATAGATAGATAGATAGATAGATAGATAGATAGATAGATAGATAGATAGATGGATAGATTATGGAGGGATGGATGAATGGATGGATGGATGGTGTGCTAGCATGAGTCAAACAAGCCAACCCCCGCTTCTCTACGATGTTCTAATACTGAGATATAGCTGCTGTTATATTGTTGCTAGGTTAGTCTGTTTTGTTGCTATGGAGTGGATTGTCAGCTTAGACTGATGATGTATCAAAGCTTCTTGCCAGTAGGAACAGTTAAAAGCAACACCCATGTCTCTATCACACTGCAGCATGACGATATCAATCTGAACCTCTATAATTGCAGTCTATGGGACCGTTGCTAGGGTGCCGTATCTGGTTGTTAGGGGTGTGGCTAGAAAGTTAAAAGCTCATCAGTTATTGGTAGTGAGTTAAATGAGCCCAGTTAGAAGTCTGTGCAACAGTCTGATGTAGAGTTATGAGCTCACAAAGTTTGACCCAATGTAAAGTCAATGAGAGTCTTTTGCAGTGGAAGTCTATGGGACAGTTTCTAGGGTCCCAAAAGTGGGTTGCTAGGGTGTGGCCAGAAAGTTAAAAGCTCATCAGTTATTGGCAGTTAGGTAGTCTGAGTTAAATGAGCCCAGTTAGAAGTCTGTAGGACAGTCTGATGCAGAGTTATGAGCTCACAAAGTTTGACCCAATGTTAAGTCAATGGGATTTTTCTGACGGTCCCGGGACGTTTTTTGGAAAACCAAAAGTCGGATCAGTCGGAAAAGATATAGCAACCCGAGTCAGACCAGTTTGGAGGTCTGGTGTGAGTTTGGTGGTCATAGCTTGAAAGCTCTAGGAGGAGATAGAGTTTAATTTTTAGTCTCAGAAGAAAAATAGGATAACAATAGTCTGGCTTGCTACACAAGCCAGCCTAATTAGTCACAGCAGCAGCACCTTCCCAATTTTGCACACATTACATTTAACATAAAACTGTCAAAATTGCAATTCATTGCTTTGTAGTTTTCAGTAAGACACTTATTAAGCCTAAATAACGCGTAAACGACTTAAGTGCAAAACTTATTTACATCCATTCAGGGCTTTACATTAACACCGCCAACCCGCCAAATGCGGGTAGATTTCAGCTTTGGCGGTTTAGACAGACACCTCCACTAGCCCCTTTGGCTGATTGAAAATAATTTTTAAATTGTAGTTTTCCTAAAAGCAGGGTTCGACAATATAAGGATGACCCAATATGCGAGCAAATGTGATCTCAGAATCGAGCAGTAAAATAATTGTGATCACGCGAGCAGAAGAAAGCAAGTGAATAATACCGAATGAGAGGATGATCATCACTCGCGCTAACAGCTGATGTGTTGCGCGCGACTTCTTAAAACGCGTGCGCACTCCCGAATCGTGAGGCAACCATGTCTGGAAGAGGTTCTGGAAACGCAACTGTCATCGGTTCTCTTTCAAATAAACTAGACAAAAAGTGATGAAAATGCATTCACAGTCCTGCTGCTTTCAAGAGCTTGAAATGTGTCTTTTTGTAAGCAGCACCGGTTGCTTTCACTTTGAACAGATTATGAAATTGTCTAAAGTTAACCGTGTGCATGTGATCTTCTTTTCATTATCACACACGGTATGTTTTTTCACCTGCTTTCATTTGCTTATGGTTTTGTTTGGTTTCATTTTTGTTAAAATGGTTTAATTATTTTTTTTTATTTACAATATTGCTTTAATGGGTGATGAACTCTCCATTTATGTGCAGTTAACTGCTGATCCGAGAGATCTTTAGCCACAACAGATTACCGTGCTTATTTTTGAGACATGACAATAGTTATTTTTTTAAAAGTCAATTGCTTTCCTTTCTTTTTTAAGAAATGTTTTGTTAAATAAAAAGTATGGTATACAGCTATATTTTGCTTGTTTTGACACATTAAACATTTGTGGCTAAGAAATAATTATTGTTGTGGTTATAGAGATAAATTTGGTGCATCGTTAATTTTGAGCTCTAAAAAAAGTCATGTGAAATAAAAACTAATTGCAGTATAACACAATGAAACCCGACACACAAAAGTGAAATAAAGGTGGAGGCATGTAGACATAACTCAAAATTTAAATCAAGTAATTTTAGCATGTCAACGTCAAATTTATGCATATAAAATAAACTTTCCCAACAACAAAATTGTGGCTAGTGAAAATGCAGAGTGGCTAGTAACATTGGAAAACTACTAGCCACAGTGGCCGGTGATTAAAAAAGTTAATGTAAAGCCCTGCATATATTGTACATGCAAATAAATATCAATACTTGATGCTAGATTATCAATAATGTATCGCAGCCGGAAATATCCCCATATCATTATTTTGTCCCACCCCTACTATAAATGTCATCTTACTAAAAATGATTAGAGACATAAGAGAGTATCTCTTACCAATGAGTGCAGCGGTGGTTCATAACTGGGGGACGAAGCTCCTTGACCGTTTCTGGACCAAACAGCCGTACTCGCAGCTAAACAAATGAACAACAATCAAAGATCACAACAGAAAGTTCAAACAGAGACAAAATAATCAGTGCTTTATGATGAAATACACAAGCAAGGCAATCAAAAACATATGAAAGTTATGCAACACCTATCTAAACATGTTGAAATCAATGCACATTTATTTGACATGCAGCATCGCTTAAAATACCAACTATTATTATTGAAAAACAGTGCATTAAAGTTATGTGAGTTCAAGCATTAATCAAGAATAAATATATGTACATTATTCTCTAATAATTCAACAGCCTTATGTGCACTGTTGAGATGTTGTAACTGTTGAAACAACTCAAATCATTCAGCGGAGTGATATAGTGCTGTGATGAGCTCAAAACCTGCTGGAACTACTTTGTCTTATAATAAAGGGACACCTTAGATTGCTCATCAGCCAATCAGAATCCTTTTAACATTAATACAACTCAAGCCAGGTCAATTATCCATCATTCACTCTAGCAAAATTAAAAATCTCAGAGTCATATATTTTTTGCCTGCTATCAATTATACATCAACATGATCAAAGTAACTCATTTTTGCATACACACCGCCTCCCAAAACATGCAAGCACTCTGAAATAGGTGTTTCAGTTCAGATAAAGAACGGCCAATCAAATCAGACCCAACCCAGACCTGACCAATCAGAGCAGAGCTGGCTTTAAAAAGGGGGAGGGTCCCAAGGTTGATTCAAATGAAGCGAATCCAAATTGATTCTAATATTAAATACATAGTCTGAATAAATTACATAGTGTTTTCTGACTTTAAGTGCATTTAAACTTATTGTAGGACACTATAACACAATATTAGCACACTTTAAAATAACATATCAACTGCTGTTTAAAGATGTTGACTGGAAAACAAGACCAAGAAAGCCTTAGTCTGTGTTTTTTCTATTGATCCGAGACTCAAACAAGGCCAATTATTCATCATTTACTCCAGCAGATAGAATCCTTATACTTTCATGACCTTTGTCATGATCAAAGTAACTCATTTGCATAATCCCGCCTCCTACAACAAAATGACCACTTCCTTATTGATGCAGAACGACCAATAAAAACAGACCCGACCCAGACTGGACCAATCAGAGCAGAGTGGGTTATGAAAGGGGGAGGTGCTTTCAGATCTGAAGCTCCAAGCTTGATTCAAACGAACCGAATCAAAATAATTTCCAAGTTTTTAAACTCATATTCTGAGTAAATGACAGTGTTTTCTGACTTTAAATGCATTTAAATCTGCTGTAATGACAATTTAGGGACTCTAAAATACCATATAACCTGCTCTTTTAAGATACTGACTGGGAAACAAGACCATGATAGTCTCAGTCTGTGTTTTTCTATTGATCCGACACTCAAAACAGGCCAATTATTCATCATTCACTCCAGCAGAATGAGTCCTTATTTATTGATGATCGACGTCAACATAATCAAAGCTAATCATTTGCATAACCCCTCCTCTAGCAACATACAAACACTCAGTAATGGTTATTTTCTTTCTGATACAGAACGACCAATAAAGTCAGACCCGACCCAGACCTGACCAATCAGAGCAGAGCTAGCTTATAGAAGGGGGAGGCACTTACAGACCTGAGGCCCCAAGGTTGATTGAAATGAACTAAATCAAAATAATTTCAGATTGATTCTAATATTAAACACATATTCTGAGTAAATGACAGTGTTTTCTGACTTTAGATGCATTTAAATCTGCTGTAATGACAATTTAAGGACTCTAAAATACCAAATAACCTGCTCTTTTAAGATACTGACTGGAAAACAAGACCATGATAGTCTCAACCTGTGTTTTTCTATTGATCCGACACTCAAACCAAGCCAATTATTCATCATTCACTCCAGCAGAATGAGTCCTTATATTCTGTATATCTACATCAACATGATCAAAGGAACTCATTTGCATAATCCCGCCTCCAGCAACATACAAACATTCCAAATGGCTATTTCCTTTCTGAAACAGAACAACCAATAAAATTAGACCTGACCTAGACCCGACCAATCAGAGCAGAGCTAGCTTATAGAAGGGGGAGGGGCTTACGGATCCGAAGCCCCAAGGTTGATTTAAATGAACTAAATCAAAATAATTTCAGAATTACTCTAATATTAAACTCATATTCTGAGTAAATTACAGTGTTTTTTTTTTTACTTAAAATCTGCTTTAGAGACTATTTGAGGACTCTAAAATACCATATAACCTGCTCTTTTAAGATACTGACTAGAAAACAAGACCATGATAGTCTCAACCTGTGTTTTTCTATTGATCCGACACTAAAAACAGGCCAATTATTCATCATTCACTCCAGCAGAATGAGTCCTTATATTCTGTATAGCTACATCAACATGATCAAAGGAACTCATTTGCATAATCCCGCCTTCAGCAACAAACAAACATTCTAAATGGCTATTTCCTTTCTGAAACAAAACGACCAATAAAATCAGACCTGACCTAGACCTGACCAATCAGAGCAGAGCTAGCTTATAGAAGGGGGAGGGGCTTACAGATCCGAAGCCCCAAGGTTGATTCAATTGAACTAAATCAAAATAATTTCAGAATTACTCTAATATCAAACTCATATTCTGAGTAAATGACAGAGTTCTCTTACTTTAAATGCTTTCAAATCTGCCGTAGGGACCATTTAGGAATTCTTAAATACCATATAACCTGCTATTTAATGTTATTGACTGGAAAACAAGACCAAAAAAGTCTCAATCTGTGTCTCTCTATTGATCCCACACTCAAACCAAGCCAATTATCCGTCATTCACTCCAGCAGAATAAATCATCCGTCCGTTTCTCTGTTCTTTTGTGTGTGTCTTTCAGCAGACGATCAGCTGGTGGGAACTGACCCCTGCCTTTGATAGGTGACGACCCTGATGCTAATCACAAACTGGTTGTTCTTCCCTCCTCATTCTCTCCTTCACACCGGTAATTAGCGATGAACGGCGCACTCGTTTATTCATCCTCTCTGACCTTCACCTGTTTGCGTCTGCGCCATTGGCTCATTACGTATATATCACGGCTAATTATGTTGTGTTTTTTCAAATTGCGCTTCTTTATCGAAACATGCATTTCAGACGCTGCTCCGTATTATTAAACCTCATTTCCAAATGCTAATTAGCACATAATTACAGCCACATTCATGTGCAAATAAATTTTGCGGGAATCCGCGCCGCTGCCACTGAGAAAATTATTAAATTAGTTATTTAAACTTCCCTCGCATGTTTAAGTTTAAATATTAATTTGCAGTTGCGCATTTAATGGTTGTCGGTCTAATAACTTTGGCACTCTGAGAGATCCTAATTAGGCGGCGGTCGTTTCCATGGAGGCTCGAATAATTACTCAATAATCAGACTCAGAAATTAGTTTTGACGAAATTGATGAATATGAAGAATGCAGTATATACAAATATACACTTGCTGGCCACTTTATTAGGTACACATTACTGGTACCAGGTTGGACCCCCTTTTGCCTTCAGAACTGCCTTAATCCTTTGATTAACAAGTTATGCCAATCTCCCGTTCCACCACATCCCAAAGCTGCTCTATTGGATTGACAACTGGTGACTGTGGAGGCCATTTGAGTACAGTGAACTCATTGTCATGTTCAAGAAACCAGTCTTAGATGCTTCAGGCTTTATGACATGCTGCGTTATCCTGCTGGAGGTAGCCATCAGAAGATGGAGACACTGTGCTCATAAAGGGATGGACATGGTCAGCAGCAATACTCAGGTAGGCTGTGGCGTTGATGCTCAATTGGTACTAATGGACCCAAAGAAAATCTCCCCCACACCATTACACCACCACCACCAGCTTGAACCGCTGATACAAGGCAGGATGGATCCATGCTTTCATGTTGTTGATGCCAAATTCTGAGCCGAGCATCTGAATGTGTCAGCAGAAATGGAGACTCATCAGAGCAGCAACGTTTCTCCAATCTTCTATTGTCCAGTTTTGGTGAGTCTGTGTGAATTGTACCCTCAGTTTCCTGTTCTTAGCTGACAGGAGCGGCACCCGGTGTGCTCTTCTGCTGCTGTAGCCCATCCGCCTCAAGGTTGGACGTGTTGTGTGTTCAGAGATGCTCTTCTGCAGAGCTCGGTTTAAACGAGTGCTTATTTGAGTTACTGTTGCCTTTCTATCAGCTGGAACCAGTCTGGCCATTCTCCTCTGGCATCAACAAGGCATTTGCGCCCACAGAACTGCCGCTCAGAGCCCTAGAGATGGTTGTGCGTGAAAATCCCAGTAGATCAGCAGTTTCTGAAATACTCAGAGCAGCCCGTCTGGCACCAACAACCATGCCATGTTCAAAGTCACTTAAATTCCCTTCCTTTCCCATCCTGATGCTCACTTTGAACAGCAGCAGATCGTCTTGACCATGTCTTCATGCCTAAATGCATTGAGTTGCTGCCAGGTGGTTGGCTGATTAGAAATTTGCGTTAACAAGCAGGTGGACAGGTGTACTTAATAAAGTGGCCGGTGAGTGTATATAGTATGTTGTTTAATGTACATACATTTGATTGATTGTAATTTGATTGATGAATTACATTTTGAATGATTAAAATTGAATAACACACACCTGTTTGTGTAACAACTGGAACAGCAGAAATTAAAATATAAATAAAAAATTTAAATATTTAAGCTTGAATTGAATTAAATCATGATTATTTTAGTATCACTGTGCATTTAAGTTTAAACAGTTTTACATTTTCCCTTTTCATTTGAAGTTTCATATTTTAATTTATATATATATATATATATATATATATATATATATATATATATATATATATATATATATAAAATTTTAAAGGTTTTTTATATTTATTTAGAGTGATTTGTATTTATGTATTTTGTATTATGTATTTTATAGTTAACTTTATTATTGATTGGGTTAGATTTATATTTGTTTTTCATGTTTTAATTTATATTTTGATATAAATAGTTTTGACAATAATTCTTTCATATTAAATATGTGTTCACCATTCTCATTTTTAATTCAGTTCATCATAATATATAGCTTTATAAGTAGTTTGAATGAGCTTTTATTTGATTTATTTTGAGGAAACCCACACCAACACGGGGAGAACATGCAAACTCCACACAGAAATGCCAACTGACCCAGCTGGGACTCAAACCAGCTACCTTCTTGCTATGAGGCCACATTAATAACCACTGAGCCACCGTGCCGCCAATAATAATAATAATAATGATAATAATAATAATGATAATAATAATAATTACAATAATAAAATTAGTAATAATAATAGTAATAATAATAATTACAACAATAATAGTAATAATAATAATTACAACAATAATATTAATAATAATAATTACAATAATAATTACAATAATAATAATAATAATAATAATAATAATAATAATTACAATGATAATAATAATAATAGTAATAATAATAATAATTACAATAATAATAATAGTAAAATGATGATATTAACTTCAATAATAATATTAAGTACAATAATAATAAAAATAATAATAATAACAGTAAAGCAGAAAGTGGAATGTCATAATCAGGTGACTTAATCAGGTGACATAATCAAACAGCTGTGTGAGTTTATAAAACCACAGAGAATAAACACACACACACACACACACACACACACACACACACACACGCGCGGTGAGTTACCTGTGAGCGCGGGCGGGGATCCCACAGGAGTGGACGGGTTCGACGAGAAGCTATTATTGGTGTGATCGGGGGAATAAATCTACAATAAAACACACACACACAGAAAAAGTCCATGTTAATGTGCATGATGCATTTAAAATAAATATTATAACCTTAAAATACAATCCATTTTTCCCTGAAACCAGTTTTCTTTACTCGTGTGCAGCCCAAATACTCCCAACATCCACTATGTATTGTGTCTGTCGGTGTAGTTGTTCAGTCAGACGGTGTTTTACTGTGTTTCAGTGTGTGTGTTCATGATGAGACCTGCAGACTCACTGAAGCCAAAGCCTTTCCTAAAGCGTCTCCAGTCTGAGAGCTGCTTCCGGCTGCACTCGACGATCGATTCGCTGAAAACACACACACAAATGAACAACACAGAAAACACACACAAATGAGTGATTCACACACTCTCGTACAGTCAAAGAGAATAATACAAGTGCTAAACGAAACACTGCAGCGCTTACTGATCAGAGCGCCATATAAACAATTATATTACTTCGTTTGTTTATTTAACAACCATATTTTATTAAAAATAAGTTCCAAAATAATAGAAAGGATAAATGAAAGAATGAATGAATTAATGAACAATTAAATCAATCAATAAATGTTTTAATCAGATTTCTAAGATAAAAAATCTATTAAAATCAATTTATTAATATGACAAAATTGTCAATAGAACACAAGCTTTTAATAAATAAGCAAAATATTAGTACATATAATAAATATAATAAATAATAATATTTAATAAATTTATGAAACTTTTTTTGTAATTTCTGTTTAATTAAAATAATCTTTTTTTTTCAACACATCTTTAAAGATAATGTAGTGTAATGTGTATTTATATAGTGCATTTATTATGTATACAACATTTTGGGGGGTGGGGGGGTGAAGGGTGGGGTGCAGCATCCACTTGGATGATGAGACCGCAGCCACAGGACAACAGCGCCAGTGCACCACACACCACCTTCAATAGTATCTGGATGCAGCCTTTATGATGCAAGCTGAGATTGCATCACTCAGCGATGCAATGTCAGACACGATACACTCAAACGGAGTGAGTGACGTCACCGTGAGGGGTAGGGTTAGGGGTGAGCCCATTATAAAGCATTGGATGCAGCCCAGATTGCACTGCACCAGGTCTGCATCCAGACCCCTCTCAACTCTTTACCTCCAATTAACGTCTCATCCAAAAGACGGCGCTCACTGACAGTATAGCATCCCCTTTAGTATACTGGGGAATAGGGACTCATACAGGCCCCCTGCTGGCCTCACTAACCCCACTCCCAACAGCAACCTCGTTCTCCCATGTGGTCTCCCATCCAGGTACTAAGCTTCAGTGAGTAACCCGTCCTGGGCTGCAGGGTGATATGGCTGTGGCATAATACTTTTAATAACTCAAGTCTAATAATGGATTTATTTTCTCTTTGTCATGATGACAGCACATAATATTAGACTAGATATTCTTCAAGACACTAGTATTCAGCTTAAAGTGACATGTAAAGGCTTCACTAGGGTAATTAGGGTAAAGTTAGAGTAATTAAGCAAGTCATTGTACAAAAGTGGTTTGTGCTGGAGACAATCCAAAACTAATATTGCTTAAGGGGGCTAATAATATTGACCTTAAAATGACAATTCAGCTTTTATTCTAGCCGAAATAAAACAAATAAGACTTTCTCCAGAAGAACAAATGTTAGAGGAAATACTGTGAAAAATTCCTGAATCTGTTCAACATCATTTGGGAAATATTTGAAAAAGAAAAATAATAATAATAATTTTGAGTTCAACTGTATTCCATTAATGTTGTCGAGCAGCCTAACCTGATCTCCGGCAGCTCCCTTAGCACCTTCCCATCACAACACTGCATTATATCCACTAACACTTTTAGCGTCTGCGTTAGTTTTCATCAGGAGCGAGTACATGTGTATAATGTGCAAATGATAAAGCATAAAGGAGTTCAGCTGACCCATGGTGCTGTCTGTGCCGTTGGTGGTTGCGGAGCAGGACGCTGTGCTGTAGTGACTGGAGCCGCCGCTGCGATGGAAACTGGACATGGGAGGAAGACTGGGGTTGATTTCTGCCGACGAGTGGGACGGATAACTCTGAAAGACACACAAAAGCACGCTTACTGATTTAAAATAATCAGTTGTGCATTTTTTTGCATGAATTTGTAGATTTATGATGATCAATAAAGCTACTAGAAAATAAATACAGATGCATATAGATCGATATATAGACGTTATTTCATATAAAAGATTTTTCTACAAATTTAAACAACTTATTTAAAACGAGCTAACAACACATTTTTCTAAAATGTTTTGGGACAATTTAAAGGTGCTGTGTGTGAGTTTTTGACTCTTTCTAAAACATAAAATACACCATAATGTTTGCAGATATTCAGAAACATGCTCAGTGAACATTCTTGTTTATCTGTTAAACAATGCTATAGTCAGATATTCTGCTTTGAACTTGTGTTATGTGCCGGAACATCTGTCTTTGTTTTGGTCATTTAACCCACCCAATGCCAGATTAGCCAATTATATTTCAGCATCCGGGGTTGTCAGATTGTGGAAAACAGCACATTTCATTCATTCAGTCAGGAAGACTCTCTAAAACATGCATCTTTGACTGAAATGTGACCTCAGGTGGACAGTAGCAAACTCCGAAATGAGACGCAAATTCAGAGTTTCACATGACGTGGGTATTAATTAGCAAATAATCTAAATATTACAAATGTAAACATTAGGTGAGCAGGTTACATTGTAAACCTGTGTCCTAACAACACGCTATCTGATGGTATACACAGTGATGAGCAGTTTGGTTGTTTGCACCAGACGAAACACAAAAGAAATGTAAATATAGCTTTTGAGAAGCACAGAATAGTGCACTCACTGCACTCCAGCACAATGCTAAGGTTTAAAATCTAATGAATATTAGTGATGGGTCATTCATGAACGATTTGTTCTTTTTGGACGAATCTTCAATATGACTCGGGAACTCTCATTGAGTGATTCGCTCTAGACAAAGAACGGTCACGCCGCCCTCAACCCCAACCCTCTCTATTCTGCCGCCCTAGACGCGGATATGACGGAGAGCATGGGTGGTGAGGGTAGTGTCGGGGACGCCGCCCTCTCTATTCTGCCGCCCTAGACGCGGATATAACTAAGGGCACGGGTGGTGAGGGTAGTGTCGGGGACGCCTCCCTCTCTAGTAGTCGCGGATTTTACTGAGGGCGCGGGTGGTGTGGGTAGTGTCGTGGACGCCGCCCTCTCTATTCTATCGGCCTAGACGCGGATATAACTGAGGGCGCGGGTGGTGAGGGTAGTGTCACGGACGCCGCCCTCTCTATTCTATTGCCCTAGACGCGGATATAACTGAGGGCGCGGGTGGTGAGGGTAGTGTCACGGACGCCGCCCTCTCTATTCTATCGCACTAGACGCGGATATAACTGAGGGCGCGGGTGGTGAGGGTAGTGTCACGGACGCCGCCCTCTCTATTCTATTGCCCTAGACGCTAATATAACTGAGGGCGCGGGTGATGAGGGTAGTGTCACGGACGCCGCCCTCTCATTCTATCGCACTAGACGCGGATATCACCGAGGGCAGATTAGTCGCAGATACTACTGAAGGCGCGGGTGTCGAGGGTAGTGTCATGGACGCCGCCCTCTCTATTCTATCGCACTAGACGCGGATATAACTGAGGGCACGGGTGGTGAGGGTAGTGTCACGGACACCGCCCTCTCTATTAGTCGCGGATACAACTTAAGGCGCGGTTGTTGAGGGTAGTGTCGTGGACGCCACCCTCTCTATTCTATCGCACTAGAGGCGGATATAACTGAGTGCGCGGGTGGTGAGGGTAGTGTGGCGGACACCGCCCTCTCTATTAGTCGCGGATACAACTTAAGGCGCGGTTGTTGAGTGTAGTGTCGTGGACGCCACCCTCTCTATTCTATCGCACTAGACGGGGATATAACTGAGGGCGCGGGTGGTGAGGGTAGTGTGGCGGACACCGCCCTCTCTATTAGTCGCGGATATAACTGAGGGCGTGGGTGGTGAGGGTAGTGTCTGGGACGCCGCCCTCTATTCTGCCACCCTAGGCGGCCGCCTAGGTCGCCTCTATGGACGCGCCGGCCCTGAGCGTAGTGCAAATATAAATACTCCTTTATTAACCAAAGGTTGTTAAACAAACAGAAATGGTAGAAAGTGATGACGTCAGTAATATGCAAATTAACGTATGACGTAATCTAGTGAGTTTTAGCGACTTTTCATTGAAAATAGTTGGCAACAGTGAATGGCATTAAGACTCAAATTATTAGCATTTAACACTGAATAAAGCACATGAGCTGCACCTGAGCTGATCATTTATCCTGTTGTTCAGCTGTAAGAAATAGATGCTGTTTTTACAATATTAATTTCAGGTATTGGTTAGATCGAAAAACTTTTTTGAATAATGTTAACATCTCTCTATTGCGTGCCCTTGCTTTTATATAGAACATGACTTAAATCAGCCTTAAGGCTTGATCATCAGACTCGCTCCTGTTGGTCCTCAATCTGGCAACCTGCACTTGCATTTGTTTTGCATTTGCAATACCTAGCTTGGCCACTGGGTGTCAAACGTACATCCTACACCTTTAACTGTTTTATCTTCAATCCACTTCAATATGTTAAGTTACCTTAATGGGTTTGTGTTGAAAGTTTTCTAGTCATCTGAACGTACATCACACAAACTGACTAAAATCTATTAATTGAACTTTAGATAACTTAAAAAATGAGTTAAACCTTCACTTTAAATTAGCCTTGCTTTAAATTCAAATGCTTTTTTAAAAAAAGGGCGGAGCTACAAATGCCTATGTGTCAGCATAGTGGCAGATTTAAAAACAAGACTAGTGTCATATGCTAATGAGGGAGAGATGGTCACTCGTTGGCGGGGCTTTCTCCCTATTATGACACGTGTCATGTTTATCATGTTTATCATTGGAGGCTGGAGATATTCACACACTGCTGACACACAACTGGGTTTAAACTCCTTATAAAAGTGAGTTTTGCATAATGGAGTTTAATTAAAGATAAGCAGTAGTGCTCACGAGTCTGTCGTGTGGATGTAGGCCGCAGTAGCTGCTGCTCTGTGCGCTGTGTGTTGAATTTCCCAGCATGCTGTTGTATCCGGGCTGGTTCATACTGCCGGAGGAGCTCCATGGGTCTGTACTGTGATGACCGTCTGAAAACACACACACACACACACCAAAAAACACAACAACGTTAAGCTTTTCTTCAGGCTAAACTAGAATTTTAAAGAGGAACACTTGGGTAGTTTTTAGGTACTAAGATGTACCCTTGAGGTATTAATATAGACCTTTTAGGTACAAAGTTGTACCTTTTAAAAAGGTACCGCCCCAGTGACAGATCATGTAAATTTATTTCTGAGAGTGTACTGCAGGGCTGGATTAACATAAGGGCTTGGTAGGCCTGAAGCCCCAGGGCCCACAGAAGAAGGGGGTCCATGATTGGCTGGATAATTAATTTGCGCTATTATGCGGGAAACGCCTCTTTGCGTCATGCTTTTGCTCATCGATAATGTGAAGTAATCCTTTTAGTCCGCTGCTGAAACAGTGACGCTGATGCTATACTGTGGCTCAGAGTGGCTGTAGCCCGATGAGAATATTGAATAGCCCTGTTTTAGTCACCCATCAGGGTGTTCAGATGTCCCAATTTTACCAGGACAGTCCCTTATTTCAGCACTACTGTGAGAACCCTCCAGTCAAAGCTGTGCTAACCAAGCTCGCCGTAGAACAAAAACTAGAATTCAAACGGTCGTCATCATGGATTAACTTGTACAGGTAGTAAAAGAAGCTGGGACAGGTGGAATCATACTGAATGGACTCATGACTGAAGAGCAGTCTCGTTACAGTTACTGCAACTATGCAGTTTATTTGTAAGAATAGTGCCGATATTCAAATATTTACAATTTCTGAAAGCTCGTCAGCGGCGGTTAGACGTTGTCTATCCACAAAGAGGGGTGCCAGAACCGCATAATAAGCCCTTGCTCAGTGTGTTGTCTTGTGCGCGAACTAAAAAGCTGAAAAACGGAAGCCTCGTGGTTTTAAGGTGGAACGGATTAAGTCAATAAGAAGCTGCGAATAAGAAGCTGGATTCAGCCTTGTCCCTCCTTATCGCAAACACAACAGCAGTCTAGTGAGAAATCTCTGTGGACGGATGGCCTTTCATGCCTTATAATCTTAAAATGTGAGCAAAATTTGCTGTTTTGTCATCACCTTAAGGGGGTCACACACCAGAAGTGCCGCTTCACATTACTCTATAGAGAATCATTCGAACACTAGCTCTAAAGTGACGTTGGTGAATTAGTAACGGCTTCTGCTGTTTCTGACGTCAGCTGTTGATTTGTATGAATGGCGGAAGAAAGTAGTTCCTCATACAAAAGGGTCTTAGACTCTCTGTGTTGGATTTTCTTTTTTATGTACAAGATTGTGCCGTTAAACTGTTGAATAAACGCAATATCACACGAGCAGCAGTGAGATATGGCTGTATATCAGCACTGGTGGGGCGTTACGCCTCCCACCGATACTGATATACAGCCATAGCACACTGCTACGAGTGTGATATTGCTCATTTATATATATATATATATATATATATATATATATATATATATATATATATATATATATACACACACGCGCGCGCGC